CCTTAATTTTGATTAGAGATGGGCAAAAAGTCAGTTACATATTATTACATATTATTACATATTATTTCTAATTATTTCTTCTAATATTTTGTGTAATGGGTAGTAAAGAGTAATGATATATACAAAATTCAATCTGATTATGACCTACGACAAAATATTTTAATATCGATTACATTTCCAATGGTAATAGATTCTTTCCCCTTTTTATTAACTAGATCATTGATTATTTTTGATAAATTCTTCAAAAATTAGAACCACTCCAGGTGCGTCTAAATTTTTAGTATTTTAGTGCCGTCAGTTAAAAAAACGGTTGCTGAGCGCGATGTGTCATTGAAAACAATTTCCTTAATTCCTCCATAGTAGCTTCCCAAATAAGATTAATCGAACTTCTAATAATTTCCTTTTTATTTTCTATAGTTTCCACCATATTCTTTTAACGGTGTGATAGTAAAAGAGGAAAGATGAAAAATCAATGTGGTATTAATGATGAATTTATATTTTACAATTTGACTATGATCATATCTTATGATAAATGGTTGAGCTTCTTTGATTAAAAACTTAATAATAGTGTTGTCAACTGATATACCTTATGATTTTGATAGTTTCTTAAGTTACGTTGATTGATTTTCTTGTCAAAGATTAAATCAATGTCGCAGCTGATGCTGAAATTTTGGGGTCTCTATTTAGAACTATAAAACCTACTAAACACTTTAATTAATAAACCCTGACCCTAAACTCTACTCAAACTATTATAATAAATCAAAATTTCAGCATCAGCCGTTTTCAACATCAGCTGTGACAATCAATGTAAAAAAGATCTATTATGTAATCATGATTTTTAAAATACATTGGTTAAAAATTTTTTGTGAAAAAAAAAGTGGTTAATGCATATTGTTTTATAAATGTCTTTTTTTTTTTTTTTTTTTTTTTTTTTTTGAGATAATTAATTTTTTTAATTTTTTTTAAAGCTTAAATAATAACAAGCCTTTATTGTTATATAAAATTGTGGCGTTAAGCAATTTTTATTTGCGGCCTGAATTAAAATTGATTCAGGCCCTAACTCAAAAAATACCCATTCACATAATTTATATTTTGCAATCACTCCACTCGACATAGTGAATTTACGAAATTTTAGTAATTGATTCGAAATGTGAAGAAAATTTATAACTGAGTTATTTAGCACATCGATTCCACAACTATTTTTTCAAATCAAAGCAATTAGAAAGGATATGATGTATAAGATATTTATTTGGGGATATTATTATTAAAAATGCTTTTTTTTTCATATGTAATATTTATTTTAATGAACATTTTCTAATTATATTAATAAAATCTATTCATATACATTAGTTCGAAAAAGCGCTGAATATTTGAAATATGACTGTACCATTCCGAAATTAAGCACCACCAAATTTTGTATAATATCCGAAAATAAGCACCCTCTAAGTATAATCGTATCAAATTTTTTACTAATCAAGTTTCTATTTGTTTCTAAGTAAAGATATTCTCCAGATCAAGACGATTCTAATGGTGATAAATTATCAAAATCAATTAAGTAGAACTTTAGTAATTGCTCTTCAAAATTCAGTCGACGTTTGTTTACATGATCTGTAGTTATGTAAATGTTGCCCGAACTTTGAAGTGTAATTGTAAAAGCTCTACTGAATCGATTTTGATAATTTTACCACCATTAAAGAATCGTCTTGACCTGGAGAATAACTTTATTTAGTAAACTTGATTAGTAAAAAATCCGATACGATTATGTTTAGGGAGTGCTATTTCGGACATTATACAAAATTTGGTGGTTCTTAATTTTGGGGTGCTTAATTTCGGAATACGTGACATGAGAACTGTAAACGCTAACGCTGACACCACCAGCGTATGTTAATTGAATATAATTATAAATTATTATGCAATATGATTATTTATATGCTGCTACGTTATGAAAATTATGCTATATACTTTAGAATTAAGAGTGATCTAGTATCCTCAAACTATAAACGTTAGTAGAACTTTAATAACCTGACATTTAAGCAATAAATATATATATATATATTAGTATATCCAAACAAATTTTTATATTAGCGTTGATTAAAATAATTGGAATTTTTGTTTTTTTAAAAACTATTTAGTTGTAATGTCGAATGCTTATTAAAATAGTTAATTAACATTTGTTAATTCACATCAATTAACGTTAATGAATAAAATGAATAAATCAGCTTTTAATTATATTCCTTCGCAATTCTTGCGCGCTCATTTTTTTTAAAAGCAAGTGCCGGTAAATTATAATATTTTTAAACAATACCAAAAAAAATTTAATAATGGCTTAATCTAAAATAACTAAAATGACTAAATATGCTAAAAGCTGAGCACACTATAATTTGTCTTTAGGCTAGAGAATCATTATAATATCGATTTCGAGTTCTTAATGTGCTCATTGAAATAAATTTATGAAAAAATCTGGTGTATTATTTGACTAGGTGACATGGGTACCAATGTATTGTATCAAATTTTTTAATGTCTATTTTACTTGTAATAAACTGCTTCTTCATAAATTTATTTTGCTTCATGACAAAATGATTTAATATAATATATATGAAAAGATACAATGTGTAAACAAAATTTTTTATTTTTATTATTTTTACTATATTAATAGGCCCTCAATATACAGTAGTGAATCTCTCAATATAGTGAAGAAATTTTTACAGCCCGAGAACTTCACTATAAAGAGAGTGACTTGTATCTCGAAATACATTGATAAGAATCGAAAAATTTTAGTACTATTCGATTCGTCTCATTGAGATGATTCAAATTATATAAAAATCGCATGGTTCTAATTGCCTGAACTACGAAGGTCAAATGTTTTATCATTCGATAATAAATCGAATGTTGTTTTATTTCGCTAAATTTTGTCATAAATACGGTTTTCCTAAAAATTTTTATATGTGCAATTCTTAAGTGTGCATAAACTTATTAGTTTACGAATCACATCACTACTAATGATGTGATCCGTAAACTAAATGGTTAATTATTAATTCATCTAAGATGGATAGTATTTCATATACGAAACTACTATTAAATTTATTATAATTTGCTAACTATTTTCTTTTTACTAAGCTAATATACTTCAATTTTCTAGCAAAAAAAAAAATATATATATATAGAGAAACATTTTTACATATAGTGTAAAAAAATTATTAGTTAGTTTAGTAACTCATAAGATGTTTATATTTTAAATTTTGTAATATATGGAAATTTTCTTAATGAATGAAGAAAAAAAATCAATAAGTTCACGTATGTCTGAAAAAATTATTGAAAATTTTGATAAATATTGGGACGACCTCGCTACGGCTTTAATTCCGGTGCCTCCAGGAAGTACATTATGGTCACTGGAACTTTGAAATCGCTCATTAAGTCTTTCTAGTTGAATTTTATATTCATCCCAAAACATTTCAAGAACTTGTAAAATTGGTTTCGTCGAGTTAACTTCATCGTGTAAATTTGCTGATTTTTCTAACCATTGTTCTTTTCTACCATCCAAAGTTTGCTTTAATTTAGTAGCTTCTTTTTCTTTATTTGAACTAATTAATAATGATGTTGAACCAACTAATGTAGATGTTAATGTTACTGCTCCCACAGTAATTCCACAGTTAATTGCTCTTGATTTAGCTAGTGCTGCTCCTGTCGTTCCTATCGGTTTTGCAATTTTGCAATATCCGTACCATTCCCATACTATTGCTTCCGTTGTTGTTGCTGCGCCTGCATTAAAAAGTACATACCCTGTCATTGGTAAAGCGATTAAAGCGTCTAGGCCAATAACTCCTATTGCAATTCCTTTGTAAAAAGCTTTTTCACTTTCAGCTTTCGCTAATATTCAAATGTAAAAATTTGTAAATTATTTTAACCATTAGAATAACTTTTTTATTAATTCTTTTATTGATTTAATCCTTAGAATTTCAAACGCAAAATTTTAATACTATTTTTAACCAAATTTTAAAATTTCATTGTAAATTATATTAATCGTTCGAGCAATCTTTTGATGTAAATAAAAAAAATTTGACAATAGAGAGTTTGATTACTCTCAGTTTAGTTAACCTGAAGCTGCGTGTGAAAAAAAAAAGACTAGAGAAATGTATAATAATTAAAAATCGACAATTATTTAAATGAAATTGATATACCACGAATTTTTCTAAGGGTTCATTCTCTATAGGCGTTCCAGAATCAACAATTTAGGATTAAGTTTAAATTTGAATGATGTATCCTTCAGAGAAAAAGAAAAGATAAACGAATAAAAATAATGCTTTCTAACAATAAAATTTTCTATTTACCAATTTATTAGAAAAATTTATATACTTTCAATTCAATTCGAGATTTACAGCTCAGGAATAATTTATGGAAAGCAAGCTATTGTTAAATTGTTGATAAAAGGTGGGTTTTTGAAGGGCACAGCATGCACGTGATTAATTATGTATAACTCTAGGCAAAATTAAAATATAACTTCAGCAAAATTAAATATAATTCTAGGCAAAATTAGGCATAACTCCAGGAAAAATCCAATTATAAAATTCATGCAAAATTAGGTATAATTCCGGGTACAATCTCTAATTTTCAAATTCACATGATTTATTTTCGATAATTGAAGAGTTACAAATTAAATAAAACAAATAATGCAATAATGCAGGCTGAACATTTGTAAAGCCGGTACATTTTACTGAAATTACGTAAAATTACATGTATTGTAAGGTTGTAAAATGTAAATTTCAACCCTAAACTCAAGGCAAAATTAAATATAATTCCTGCAAAAGTTGGCATAACTCTATGCAAAATTAAATTATATAATTTAAGCAAAGAAATAATCATAATGCAAATTATAAATTAATATTAATTTAGGAAATGTGTATTTTTTTTATTAGCTGAATTCTAATATTTATTCTTATATGTTTCTAAAAGCAGCTTTTATAAAATTCGTTAAGTATGTAATAACTATTATATGCATTTTTCATGAATGCATACACCAACAGGGTTCAGAAATGTATTTTAAAAGATATTGCTGAAAAAAAAAGATTTTTAAATGAACATGGGTAATGATATCCATTAATATTCTAGTGTATTCATCATTTAATAAAAATTGTATTGGATTCATAAAATTCGATAACCTTTTGATAATAATTTTGTTTAGTATAACCAACATCTTTAATAATTAGATCACATTAATTACCTTTTGAGGACATTGACTGTAAGCGTCATCAGCCCAATGGACCGTTTCTTGTCCGTTAATCCTAAAAGAAAGAACAATACCTTAAAAAAAAACAAAAAAAAATAGCTTAAAAATAGAAATAATAAATATATTATAAAGAATGTAAATACCATTTTAAAACAATAAACAAATTTTCAAATTTATAATCTTTTAGGATGTAAACAACACGTTCTAAATATGGATCCCAACTATTATATTCAACTTGAATGTCCATTTCATTTTTATTATTCCATGATTTTGAACTAACTGATTTTTTTTCTTGTTGTCTTTTATCACTTTTTGCTATTTTCAACCATCGAAAATCAACCAAGAATCGACCATTAACACGTACGTAAGGGTTGACGGAGTCTAAATTATCAACCAGCTTAAATTTTCCGAAGCTTTTTTATTTCGATTAATATTGATGTCAACTGCAATATTTACCTTCAGCATTTTCACTTTCAGATATATCAGAATCTATCTCCACATCGTTAATGTCAGAGTTATCAACATTCTCAGAAGAGCTTGGTGCCCCATATGCAAACGTTTTATATTCGTTGATCGTTGACAGTTCATTCATAACAAATATTCAACCTATAAAGCTGAAAATATAACAAATTCGAAAAAAAAGGCACTTAATCTTTTTTTTTTTAACAAAAAAAAAACGTTTCAAGCGAGAAGTATTGATGACCGTCAGTGTGAAATATCGCGTTTATATATTTTTAAGCTTTGTAATAAGTTTATATTAACTTTGTGATGATTTATAAAAGCACTTTTTTACGTTAATATATAAATATTAACGATAATATGATGACGTATAATTTTAAGTTAGATAGCCGTTGAGATGCAAGGATATACAGCGATTTCGTCATAAGGAATTGTTTTAATCTTGAAATCGCATCATTCACTAATAATACAGAATATGTATCTTTTTTTTTTTCAACTTGGCAAATTTATTATTATTCATAATATAACAGATAAATAGAAATCAAGCAAACTTTTTTTACTTCTAAAACTTTAAATGAAGATGGCTTTATTATGTATAGTCAACTGTAGTTTTGAATAAACTATTAGTTTGTAGCTCGCATCTCTAGTAGAGGTGCGAACTATAAACAATTAGTTATAGTTTGGGTATCGATGGTCCAGCTCGTAAATTAATATGTAATCCTATTGTTATTATTGGACTATGTACTTAAATTTGATTTACATAATACATTATTCATTTAGTTCTTTATCTAGCTAAAGCAATTTTTGAAAATGTTTTTTCAATCGTTCACTATTTTTTTTTTTTTTTTTGAACCCCAGGATAGCAATTAGATATCCCAATTGCCATGATCTGCAAAATTTTTGGCCTGCATTACAAATTTGTTTACTAATTTCCGGCCGGAATTACTTATTGATTTTTTCATTGCAACTATAGAATCCATGTTAAAATTGGCCCAGGTACTATTGTTTGTAATTAGGGTTGGCAAATTACCGTAATTTTACGTAATTTTACGTAAATCGGTGTAAGTTTCAGAAATCAAAATTACATATAACTTTGATCATACGAATAATTTTGGCAAAAACTTTTATAAATCTGGCATTAAAGTAAGTATAAAATTACGGTTCTGAAAATAATGACGGATAACTATTAATATTGGCAAAACTTATTTAATGCTGGTGCAATTATCATGTGACAATACACTATTTAATGTAAAATTACATTACAATTTCGTAAGTTACAATGTAATTTCATGTAACGTAAATGTAATGCCAACCCTATTTGTAATTTAGTCGATTTTATTGATTTGGCTGGCTTAGTCAGCCGATTTTCCAAAAAATCGACTTAGTCAGTTTTATGTTAGAGTAGATTATTTTAAAGTCGATACATTACCTCTTTTAATAATAAGAGTAGGGGCAAAAAACTGTACCAAATTTTATCAACGATGTTTGAATTTTACCGTGAAATTTTTATCCAGTCTTTAAATAAAATTATACTCCAATTAATTTTAAAACCTTTGTTTTACAACTAGAGTTGTGATCCCGTTATTATTTGAGTATAGAATGCAAAATTTATTAGGATTGTTGCTTCTACTAAATCGCGATTTTTTTTCATTTATTTGTTTGAAAATCTGATTTATGCCTTGTGTATTGTATCCTTTTTATATTTCAATTGATAAATATTAATTCAGATGCCCGTATCTAAAATTAATAAATTTATTAAAATACCTTACTAAATAAATTACATGATAATGTGCAAACACATCGATTTTGATTGGCTATTAGCACATTTAATGCTTACTACAATAATTTATTTTTTTGTTGATACTTATCTATAGCATTAAGAAAGACAAAATTTTTGTGAAGTTTGGTTAACTATCAGGAATTCTGTTAGTAATAAAATTAATAGATGTTTTTTCTAGCATCTCAAGTTCTTTTAAAACATCATTCAAGATTGGACGTTTGTCAGAATTTGTAGACCAGCATTTCTTATAAAGTTCGATATAAGCTGCAGGTGTGCAGGTAATATCCTTTTCTCTTTCATCTTTTACAAGTTTTGCAATTATCGTAAATTTGTCAATATTGTTAAATGGTGGAATTCCGCTTGTAAGCTCCCAGAATAATACACCTAGGCTATATATATCAGATTTTTCATTAAGTTTAAAATTTTCATTATGGCAGAGTTGTGGTTCAATATATGCTGGCATGCCTACTACTATTGAACTTGACGAATATTTTGATGTATCATCCAATAGTTTTGATATCCCAAAATCAGTAATTAAGGCCTTTCCTTCATGAAATAAAATATTCTTAGAATGCAGATCCCGATGAAGAATTTTTTTAGAGTGCAAATATTTCAAACCCATGGTAATATCTTTTGCAATTTGAACAAGTTCAACCCATGAAATTTTGTAAAGAGAGTCCCTTATTTTTTTTCGCAAATAATCTCATAGACTACCATCACTTGCAAGTTGTAACACGATCATGAAATCACCTGATATCTGCTCTCTTGAAATTCCATGAAATTTAATAATATTTTGATGTTCAACATCATTAAGAATTTTAAGCTCGCACTTTAATTGATTGAATGCTTTTCTATTTATGCACCAATTATTATTTAGTTTTTTTAATGCATATTTGTTCCCTTCAAAAGCAGTTGAGTGTACTGTTGCAAACCCACCATGCCCAATATATTTGGGGTCACTAAATTTTGAATAATCAAAACATTCTACATTGTATTTTTTTAAATAAGATTCTAACAGCTCCGAATATTCATTTATTGGTTTTTCTGCATCACTGAAATTTAAGCATTCCATTTCTGAAATGGTTGTGGTATTGTTATTGTTGTTGGGCTCAATAATGTTATCATTGCTGTTGCTAGTTTTAATGTTTGTTGGTTTGAGATTTTTTTTGTAAACGACAGTAATAACAAATATTACTAAAATGACGCTACCAATGACCGCCACGATAATTACGCTAATATTTTGAGAGTCTGGAATAGTTTGTGTATTATTTGGAATTGTGCTATTTGGAGTAAATTCAGTAACCCATCTATAAGAGTTTTTATCGATTATATCCAGTAAAAATAAATTTGTAAAATAATTTTCCATATCATCTTTGCCTATAAAATAAAAATGAGTATTGAATATGCTTCAATAAATTATATTAAATTCAATATTATAAACTAAAATTATTTACCAAAGGCAACAATCATATAATTATTTATCAATGTTGTGGTATGACGACTAATATTATTCGGGCCATTGGCCTGATTTAAAATATTTCCAATTGACCACTGATATGTAAATATATCCAGAATCCACAGATCACCAAGATAATGTCCATTAATATCACCGCCGTATATTATGATACGTCCATCAGGTTAATTAATATAAGATTCAATGCTGGATTTTTAAAATATACATAAATTTTCGCACTTAATACTGCCGAGGAATAAGAACGAGGAGGAGGAGCGCTTGGACCTAAAGTGGACTAAGTAATGATGTTTAGTTTAATGTTGAAATTATATTTGTTGTTTATTTATAACATACTTGGTATCCCCAGCTATGAGCGGTTACATTATAAAGTGGCAACTACAAACAAAAATATATGAATAAAATAAATAAAATATAAATAAAAATTTTAGCAAATAATAACATTTACTGAATTCATTGGCAAAGTGCCATTATGATTCACATTGTCAACTCCACCAATATATAAGAGATCTCCATCTGGCAAAGAAATTACACAATAACTGCATCGGCCTTGTGGTGCATTGTTTGCAGTAATTGAACTCCACAAGTTAGTAATAGTATCAAATATCCAAAGATTATTCGGCATATTATAATTTCCACTAAAAATGGCAATTGTCTTATTGATTTTTGCACATGAAATAGCATGAATGGTAAAATTAGGGGCCATTCCGTTAAATGTAACATTATTCCATTGCTGCTTGCTTATATCAAATTTATTGATAAAATTTTCTAGAGAACTAGAATTACTAGAATTACTACCACCAATGATAAAGATCTCATCATCATTAATACCACCAATACAGGCTGCTGCCTCTTCTTTTCCAGGACCATCAGTATAAGTAAGGTCAATCTATGGTATTGAAGCATTGTTGGTTATCGTAAATGATTTAGAAACATCCAGGTAGAAAAATTCATTGGTAAATTCATGAGTAGAATTGTTGATGTCTTGGTGAACCTTTCCTCCACTAAAATAAATCCTTTTATCATAAAGGACTGCGACATGCCAATATCTTCCGGCAGGGATAAAATTTGCACAAGAGACAACAATTTTTAAGAGAAAAATGAAAATATAAATCATAAAACCATACATATTTTTTGATATTAAATGACAAACAATTTTTTTTCTATGTTTGCGAAAATGACTTAAGTGCTGCCAAGAGAAACCATGTACTGTAAAACTGTGATATAACCCACACCTGTGCACAGTAGGCATGTTACAGTACACAATGTCTTACTAGTAGGGATTGGAACCGCCTAAAGATTTTCTTAATCGGTTTAATCATTTGACCGTTTAAACGTTTAATTTGGCTGGTATTAAGATAACCCTGGCCCATTATCAACATAATTTTGCTCAGCACTCGAAAAAATTTTTATGCGGTTAATCGGTTCCAATCAGGGAAGATGTGATTTTACATAGTATTGTTACACAAAGATTTGATACAACGTATGACATTTTATTTGTATTTGTGTTGTTGATTCACAATAATCTGAATTTCTGTAGTGGTAGTAAACTTTGAGTGACCGTGGATTAGAATTATATATTATCCGAAGACCTTGAGATCACGAGATTACAGGACTAGTTTTCGGACTAGTTCCTAAAAAGTTCGGACCGGACTCGGTATGTACAGTTCCCCGGGGACCACTTAACATCCCAACATTTGGGAAATATTTTTTATAAAAATTTTAAAAATTTTTCTTGATAAAAAAGATTGATTGGTTAGCATATTCAATTTACGGAGTTCATATTTAATGTTTTACTCATATTTAGCAAATACTTTTTTTGGCAATGACTAATTTATAGAATTGTCTGAGTTTATTCATATTTGGAAAATACTTCTTATGGAAATTTAAAAAAATTTTCTTGATCAAAGAGATTGTTGGTTAGCATATTCAATTTACGGAGTTCATGTTTAGTGTTTTACTCATATTTAGCAAATACTTTTTTTGGCAATGACTAATTTATAGAATTGGCGTCTAAAGATAAATATGATTGAGTGATGCCTAGGAAAAATTTATCATTATTTGCTGAACTCACTGATCGAAGTTAATATTATACGTAAGTAAATAACAAATAAATTACACACGCATCTGTTGAGGTAACTTGGTAAAATAAAAATAATAAGCTCGAATTCTGGTTTTCTTTAGCATCACTCATCTTGTACCTTTTAATACAATTTCTAATACATATGAGTGATGGGATATGAAAACCTGTAAATTATTTTATCCATTATTGCCATGTTGATGACCAATGTCCCCCTGTATTGCTAGGGTAGGTGCGATCACGGGTTACCCGATCGTGATCAGTGATGCATGAATTTAATTAGTTTATCTGTGTGTTGCATGATATGTAACCGGGTAATCAAGTACCCGGATTGATAATCTCTAATAAAAGAGTATCGACTCTTTTTGGAATCGATAACGTTTGGTTTAGCTTAGTGAATAAACGCTCTTAGTGACAAATGGTAACTTAGGTGGAAGTGCCTGGTACAATACAACCAGTGCATAAGCGAGTGCTCTGACTCTGTGGAATCGAGCCAAAGACCCCATAACTGCAAATACGACAATTATCATCGCAGTGATAAGTACCTCTCTCTAATTCTTATAGGCAATGACAATGAATCAAATGATTTACAGGTTTTCATATTTCGTCACTCATATGATGTTTTCACTTGCTGACGCAATTAACAAACTGAAACACTGCATTGTTAGTATCATTCATTTATAAGCAAAACATACATTTCGTTGTAAATTAACAAAGTTCAAATTATAAATTAATTGATGTGTTTTTCTAGAAATTCTGACAATATTATTCGTAGTATACAGCTCATTTATTCCAGATGAAAACTTGTAAATGGAATACAAGTTGTTGAACAAATAATAATTAGCAAGTAGTCGTTAAAACATGTAATAGGAAAAGTTTAGAAAGACTTCGACTTTATATGTCGCCATTTTATGGCTTTCTTATATACATATTATTACTTACTTTTTTAACAGGCGATCTTTATAGTTAACGTTTATAAATTTTCAAATTATTTATCGTTAACAAATTACTATGAAAAGGACCTAATGTTAAAAAAGATAAAAAAAAAAATAAAGCTTACAATTAAAGAATAAAATTCAAATGAATATGAAAATACACACATTACCGTATTTGTGTGAAAAGGTGTAATTTCGAATTTCGGCATCTCAAGAATTGCGATTTCATCATGGAAGTGGTATTCATTCGTTAAGGCGAGACCAATTTAATTCAGTTGTTTACATTACATCCTTCTCGCAAAAGAGGAGGGGAGGGGGACGAAAGAGAAGTTTATTATGAAAATTTTCTCCGAAATAATCAGTAATATTATAAAAGGTTTCCAAAATTTTCTGCACATATAGTGAGGAGGCTAGGTTGGCCAATGGACCAAAATGTGGCTTAGCAAATGCCAATGGGTTATGTCCATTGGCCCAATGGACAATATCCATTAACAATTTATTTAGGACCCATCATAGTCTATTGCCAACCTTGGTTGGAGGGGGTAACGTAAACCACCGAATTAAATTGGTCTGGCCTAACTATGGCAGCTTTTCTCATTTAAATAATGTTAACATTGATTGGTATTCTGATTCGAATTACGTTGGTTGGATTTGTTTATTGGTATATGTATAACACTCATTAAGTTTTTTGACTCGAGCATCCATCGTTTGCACAATCAGGATCTTTTCGTAAAATTTTGGGATATACACTTTTTGGGTTTATATGTACTTTTTCTTCTTTTATTCATTTTTGAATTTCATTTGCTTCGCTCGATATTCTAAATTGAAATACATGGGATGGTTTTGTTTAATAGGTATATATTCAATTTTTCATTATATTTAAAATTTTGAATCAAATAATCAAATAACGATATGATCAGTGTTAATTTTTCAATTAAAATTTACTGTGCGGATACCACACAATTTACGGGTCTTTCTGTGCGGCAAATAAAAAGTTAGATCGTACAGTATTCCTATTATAGATTATTCTAACTATGCTTAGAAATGCACGTAATATAAAAATCAGCTTTGAATAAGCCTTCTATTGAACAAAGTGAATTTATTCAAATTCAATTCACGAATTTTTAATGCCTAAGTTATAATAAATTGTTTATATTTATTAACGAAAAATGCATTGAAATTTTGACTTAGAGATAACTTACAGTGATTGAATAATCATGCTTCTATTAACATTGAAATTGCAAATTCTTTGATTATAATGTTACTACGAAAAAAAATAAAAACCTAAAGAATTAGAGTTTACGGTAAAGATGCACCACTTGAATGTGTGCGAGGTTTGTGGCGCACAAAATTCTTTAGAGCTTGTTTATGTCAGAGTTAGGAATAACAGGGAGTAGTTTATACAGTAAGATCGCCCATCGAAAACTTTTTGTTAGGACAGACTTGCTGAATACGTACTTGCATTTTTTTACCTTCTGTTTTTCCGACAAGAGGGAGATTTGGTTTACCCCCTAATAAGCGACAGGCTTGGAGTTTCATTTAACTTGTGAATTTAGTTTTAGGAAATGACTTCTTCTGGCAATGCTTAAAAATTTCTGAAAATTGAGATTGATTGGTTGCGCAACGAAGTTTTAATAAAACAGCATGGTAAACTCATATTTGGAAATACTTTTTATAGTAGCGGCAGACTTGGAATTTCATTCAGATTGGAATTCGGTTTTAGGAAATGACTTTTCTGGTAATACTTATTTGATTGGTTGCACAACGGAGTTTTAGTTAACAAGCTTGCTTGTTATAGAATGACTTTTCTGGTAATACTTATTTGATTGGTTGCGCAACGGAGTTTAGTAAAACAAGCTTGGAGTTAACTCATTTGGAAAATGCTTTTTTATAGTAAGCGACAGACTTAGAATTTCATTCAGATTGGAATTCAGGTTTTAGAAAATGTCTTTTTCTGGTAATATTTAAAATTTATCATAATTGAGATTTGATTGGTTACTAGAAAAAAAGACCGTCACAAACTAGACTTCAAAACTCGTCATTAAGTAAGATTTTTTTTAAAAAAGTTATTTTCTAACTCCGTTAGCAGAGATATTTAAGCAGACCTTAAGTGGTGGGACCCCTTACCTATCTCTATATATATGAAATAAGAACTTGTTTTTTTAAGAAGTACTCTGCGAACACACCTACTTGGTCCGGCAAAAAGATTATTTGTTCTGTCATTTGGCTTGGAGAGAAAAAGAGGAGTTGTTAACTCATATCTGGAAATGTTTGTTATAGTAAACGACAGAATTGGAATTCAGTTTTAGGAAATGACTTGTTTGGTTGCGCAACGGAATTTTAGTAAAACAAGCTTGGGATTAACTCATTTGGAAAATGCTTTTTATAGTAAGCGATAAACTTAGAATTTCATTCAGATTGGAATTCAGTTTTAGGAAATGACTTTTTCTGGTAATATTTAAAATTTTATCATAATTGGGATTTGATTGGTTGCAACGGAGTTTCAATAAGACAAGCTTGGGGTTAACTCATATTTGGAAATGCTTGTTATAAGCGACAGACTTGGAATTCGGTTTTAGGAAATGACTTTTCTGGTAATACTTATTTGATTGGTTGCGCAACAGAGTTTTAGTAAAACAAGCTTGGGGTTAACTCATTTGGAAAATGCTTTTATAGTAGGCGACAGACTTAGAATTTCATTCAGATTGGAATTCGGTTTTAGAAAATGACTTTTTCTGGAAATATTTTAAATTTTATCATAATTGAGATTTGATTGGTTGCGCAACGGAGTTTTAGAAAAACAAGCTTGGGGTTAACTCATGTTGGAAAATGCTTTTATAGTAAGTGTCAAACTTGGAGTCTCATTCAGATTGTGATTCAGTTTTAGGAAATGACTTTTTCTGGTAATGCTTAAAATTTTGTATTTGATTTGTTGCGCAACGAAGATTTAGTAAATAAACTTGGAGTTAACTCATATTTGGAAAATGCTTTTAAAGGTTAGAAACATCCTGGAATTTCTTTAAATGCTTTTTAACGAATTCTGATAATATTTATTATAATACTATCGTTATGACTTTAATAGTGATTTGTTTCACACAGAAATTAACTTTCATTACCCTTTTAATAAATCTCGTTCAAAGCCTTAAAGCTGTTTGCAAACACTTCAATAAAATAATAAAATGGAAAATTGTTGGCAATCGAAAACTTCAAAGATTGAGATATTTTGTGTACAAAATAAACTTTATAATATTTGATACAATATAACTGAAATAACACTTCTTTGCTAGTAAATTTAACGATTTTGCATAAAATCTGAACTATTAGTTTCTATTACAATACCTTACATAGATTTGATTAATTTGTATATCGTAAAACCCAAAGGGACATGTATTACAAGACGAGTGATTATCAGTAGCATCCTGACAAATTTTATATTTATATCGAATCTTTGAGGCGGCATCCACAATTTACGTTAAACCAATATTGTCATAGGGATCTTAAAGATAATATAAACATAATACTACAGTCAGATCACTCTAAGTGTACACCCTTGGGACCACACTTTAACAACGTGCATATAGAGAATAATAAGAGAAGGTGCATTTATGGAGATCAAGCATATATTTGGGCCGGAACTTGAGCGTGCATTTAGAGTGTGCACTTATAGAGGGTGCACTTAGAGAGGTCTGACTGCATATGGCATTCCCTATTTTTATACAATATACAAAACGATAATAGTTTAACGTAAATTGTAGATGCCGCCTGACCAAAAAATACACTACACTCTACCCTCGTTATAACGGACCCCGATATAGCGGATACCATATTATAACGGAGTAATTTTCTAAACAATTTAAAATTATTATTATTATATTATATTATATTATAACGGATATCATTTATTATGGATATAATGGACAAAATCTTTCAGCCCGAAGGGTCCATTATAACGAGGGTAGAGTGTACTCGACTCAGAATGTTAAGCCGATAATTATCTTAACTACCAAGTCGGTCGACTTTAATACAGTACGTACGTAAAGTATATGACAATAGCTCGCGCTCATGTAATCGGCTAAGAGTCGACTTGAATCAACTCATGTGTAAAAGTCGAGTCAAAGTCGGTCGAGTCGAGTTGTTAGCATCCCTTGTATAATTGTGCAATTAGGTAATTGTATAGGTGTGCAGCGATCTAAAAGTTTAATCAAAGATAGATTACCCAGGGCGGAGCCCAAAGTTCGAGCCGATAATTGCCACAGTAACCGGAGCACCTTGTTATTTTTTTTCTACTTAAAATTTTAATATTGCTTGAACCTTATGATAGGGTATCATAATATCCTACTATGCCAAGGCTCGAGCAATATTAAAATTTTAAGTAGAAAAAAATAACAAGGTGCTCCGGTTACTGCGGCAATTATCAACCTAACTTTGGGGTCCGCCCTGGGATAATCTCAAAGATACATCCTTTTGCAAACAGTGACAAATATGGCGATTACGATAATTACAGCATAAAAATCCGTTTTCCTGTGCGTTAAGTTTCGACTAAAGGTAAACTGCGGATTATTGGAAGCAAAAAATTTCAACAAAAACGATCGCGAATCACGATTTGGTGTAATGTAACACTGTCATTGAAATCCAAATCAAACGTCTGATTTGAAAAAAAAGAAATTCTATGACATTATACCGATACTGATAAATCATTTTGCAAAAGAATACACTGTACCTGTGATACATATTTCAGTTTATTCTAACAATCGAACAAAAAAATCAAACTTTTCTAGAATAAATATACACATTCTGCATTGAAATTTAAAATATATATAAGCATTTTTACTAATAACAATATAAAAATACGACTTTAGCATTAGATTGTTCTTCAATTTAACAAGAAATGAACAAGACAAGGTTTATGCATTATACAAGTGCTTCTTATGAAAATTTTTTAAATGATAAAAAACGTAATAAATTAGCCCACTCTCGCATTTGCTTGCCATATACTCGTTCTTCTCGCTCTTGCTCACCATGTTCTCGAGCTAGTATTCCTTTTATCACAGCCCAAAATATCATACCCCTCGAACCTAACACTAATTCTTCAAGTAAATCCTCTACGGAAGAATCAACTGAAACAGGATTTTCAACTCTATTATTTGAACCTTATAAATATAGTTCTTTTTATAATGATATACAGTATTCAACATTTCTGTAACATTTCTGTATTGTCAATAAATTCACTGCATTGAATCCGCGTGAAGATTTGACATAAAGTTAAAAAAAAAATTATCCTCAAAAAACACTGAGCAACCTAATGATTCAATCAATTAATTCCTTAAAGTTGACAGACCACCTCAATTATTCGTGGTAGGGTTAAACAGTTATTTAAACTTTTGTTTTAAAATTTTTTTTAAAATATTGGTAGCTGATGCTAAAATTTTGGCTGAAACTGAAACTAACGCTTCTGATCGGTAAATTTTAATTTCAGAAAAAATGCATTTCCTTTATAATTTCGTTACATGTAGGCAAAAACTTCCAAGAGTTATAAGAAATGTATTTTAACCGATTTAATTTAATTTTTTATTGTTTTTATTACTGATGTTAAATTATTATATATAATTTTAAATGAATAATTTATCTATCATAGAACCAGAGTTTTGAATTTTAATAATTTTAATAATTTTAATAAACATCATGCATTTTTTGAAAGATTTTTATACTTTTTATTAAACTGGCTGATTAAATCAACAAAGTCCTCTTCGCAATGAATCCACTTTTGGCAGGGGCAATTTTAGTAACTTTTGTAAAGTTTAAACGAACTTCTTTCAAAGGAGGTCTTCCGATAGTTATTCACAATTTTTATTTTAATACTGTATTAGCATTAATTGTATATAGGTATAATTTCATAATCATGATGATTACGTCAAGATATATTAAAAACTTAAAGTATATGATTATTATCATTATCCAGCAGGTACTATGTAAACACTGACAGAAAAAATTTCACATTATTTTTGCAAATTTTTATTAAAATCATGTGATAACTTTTTATTAATTTTAATATAAAAATCTGCGGAAGTAATATAAAATTCTTTCCGTAAGTGTATCCATCAAATCATGCTAGATAACAAGAAAGTATTATAACGAAAATTTGTCATAATCTATAAATATGTTTTTTAAAGATATTGGAGCTTTTCCTGAACCGAAGGATCTTTAAGCTCCATCATTGTGCGTTTAAATTAGAGTTGTTGGTGAAACTAAATTGATCTGGTGAAACTGGTGACTATCTAAAATCTGATTGGTTGTTTACTACAAAAGCCAATCAGATTTTAGATAGTCACCAGTTTCACTAGCTCAATCTAGTTTCACCAACAACTCTAGTTTAATTACAGTATTTTCATGAGATTTTGCTACTTCAAATGAAACAGTCTAAAAATTATCTTCAGAGACAACTTTGATCTGGATTGGATTTTGGATCATTCAGAAAAAAAAAAGCTCCTGCAAAATCCTGCAAGTATTATTATTACTTTAGTTGATTAATGACCTCTTTTAATAAGAAGTATAAACTATAGGAGATTATCTTGAATAATAATGGGATTTGTAATATATTCATTCTTTGACAAAAATATTAATGAATTAAATTATCTTTTTATTGTCAAATGCAAAAACTATATTTTAGCAAAATCTGCAATGTATTGGTTTTTTTAAAAAAATATTCTTTTTTGAATTACTATATTTGTATTATTGAAAGCATGACGAAAAAAAATTTACTATTATCCTAACCCCACAAGTAATTCACTTACCCTTACCCAGGGTTGGCATATTTATTCATTGGGACAACTTTACAGAAACCTTGATTTTTTAAAAATATAGACAACATATATCTAACATATAATAAAAGTCTTAGTAAGCTCTGTTAACTCTCTTGTAAGAAACTTATTAATATTATA